CTGCTTGGATGTCAGTTATGGTCTCTTTGGGGTATATTCCCAGTAGTGGAATTGCTGGGTCAAATGGTATCTCTATTTGCAATTTTTGAGAAAGCGCCATACCGCCTTCCACAGTGGTTGCACCATTTTACACTTGGTTTAAAAAGATGATTTCAGGGGGTAATTTTGGTTCATGGCTTGAAGATTTTCTCACAGTGATATATTTGGGAGTGCCTCCTGTTTCAGTAGATCCTTACTGTAAAGGAGCCACCAGAAATCAGAATCAACTCAGTGGTAACTCTTTCTGGTTTTGTGGCAGGAGGAGCTTTGGACTGGGGACTCAGAAGGAAGCCCTCTGTGTGGGTCACCTTTTCTGCTCTCAGTCAGCTACCAACTGATGGCCATTCATTTGATTCTGAGTCATTGCTACACCATTGTGTTATAGTGCTTCAAAAGGTTCTCAATGGCTGCTTTTTCAAAAAGTGCATCACAAAGCCTTCCTGCTGAAGGATGACAGAAGCATCAATGCCTCTGAGCTGTGAACCCTGAAATCTGACAGGCTGCCAAAAGAATAAACAAGTTTGTTTTGGAGAAAGTACAACTAGGGTGTTCTCTAGAGGCAAGGATAGTAAAACTTCATATCACACACTTTGGGGATCAGTCCTCAGAAAAAGACATCATGCTGGGAAAGTGGCGTGTCAGAGAAAGAGAGGAAGACACTCAACAAGATGAGTTCACAAGCGGACTGGCACAATGGCTGGAGCACAGCAGAGTTGTGACGGTGGTGCAGGATAGGGCAGGGTTCAGGTCTGTTGTTCAGAGGATCGCTATGAGTCAGTTAACGCCAAGACACCCAACAACAACAACAATAGCAACAGTAGCTGCAGAGTGTCTGGAATCTTTAAGAATCTGAAATTTTGTTGCCTAGTGTTTTCTCCTTTGATTTATCTGCTTGTTCCTTGCTGGGATCCTTCCATTGCGTACCATCCAGCTCCTCCAGGAACAGGAGGCAGTTAGACTTGCAGTCCGAGTCCTTCTCACATGCCTGAATTTCTTTTTGCTGATCCAGGCAGTGAGTGTCCAATTGTTGTATCTTAGATGGCAGCTCAAAACTTTCAAGACCTCAGATGACTTTTTGTTTTTAAAGTCCTCATATAACATGTTTCCTAATCTCTTACTGTTCAGGTTCCTTCCTTTTGGACACGTACTAGCTTAATTATGACCTTCCTTAATTAAAAAAAAATTCTGTATTTCTTAAAGAGTAGTTTGATTAGAAGAGGTTTTGGGGTTTTTTGGTTTGTTGTTTTATTAAGTACCAGTGCTTTGGGGGAGATGAAGTCAGGGCACTGGGAAAAGGGAAGCAAGGTAGGAAAGAATGGAAACCAGTTCAAGGTGCTACAATGCCAGCTGTGTACTGCTTCATGACAAGAGGCCCAGCAGTGCATCTAAGGGCTCTGTGGAAGCCTGCCCAGAGGCTGCACTATTTGTAGAAATAGTTTCGGGCATCAATTCATGAGGGTGGGAATGGCTGCCAGGATCTCTCATTAGTCAAATTTTACCCATAAGCATTACGTTCCCCACATTTCTGGATTGCTAAAAGATACTTAGGATGCCAGATCTAGGGAATTTCATCCAAGCCTAGAAATGGCAGGAGGGAAACTGAGCGTATGGCTGATGAGGGTCAGAGACAATCTGATGAGGTACATAAGATGTGTCCAATACTGTTTTCCTCATTCCAGGAGAGGAAACAAGGCACAAACCCCCAAGTCACATGACTAGTAGGTGGTAAATTCAGAATTTTAGTATAGTGACCAGAAGAGTTTTGTAGGAGTATTTATATTATCTGGATGCTAAAGTGGCTTAAAATGGCTAGTTTTGAGATAGCTGCTTCTGTGCTAAGCTTAGGGAGCTGTGGTGGCCCAGGGGTAACCCAAAGGCACAGGTTTCGAATGCTCCACGGGGAGAAGATGAGCAGTCACCCTGTGTGATTTGTTGTCTCTGAAAACCTGCTGCAGGGCCACCTATGAGCTGGTCATGACTGAACAGTACTGAACATCAGCATGCGAAGTTTGGAGTCAACTGGCTCCTTTCAGATCTTTTTCATAGGAAGAGCTATGACTAGTTTATATGAGAGAAACAGGACGTTTGTGGCATGCAAGCTCCAATAGGACTTTTCTCAACTGTTATGACTTTGTTTCTCCAAAATTTATGTGACTTTGCTAGGCCATGATTCTCAACATTATGTAATATAAAAGTAGGCATAAAAGTGGGTAAGGTATAAATCTTAACTTCCATGATATTAATGAGGCAGGATTAGAGGCAGTTAGATCATGATGTAATCATGCCCTGTGATGTGATCAGCGACTTGGTTATAAGGGAATTAGGGTTGGATGCAATACCCAGGTTACAGCCCTAATCTGATGGAAGGAGAATTTTCCTGGGGTATAGCCTATATCACCTTTTGTCTTATAAGAGATAAAAGGGGGAGGAGGAAAGTGAGCAGAGAAGCAGGGACTTTATTGTTATTATGTGCCATTGGGTCGCCTGCGACTCATAGCAACTCTATGTACAACAGCTCTGAACTCTGCTCGATCCTGAGCCCACCTCACTGTCTCTGACACACCTATCCCAATACTCCAGTCACCGAGTCAATCCATCTCATTGAGGGTCTTCGTCTCTTGTGCTGTCCTCCACCCTCCCATGTATGACGTCCCTCTCCAAAGACTTGCCCCTCCTTGCAACATGCCCAAAATATGTCAGACGAAGCTTCAGAATCCTTGCCTCCAAGGCACAGCCTGGTTTTAGGACCACCAAAAAAGAAGAGCTTGGAGCAGAGTGCATCCTTTGGGCCCAGGATCTTGTGCTGGAAAACCTCTAGAAACAGGAGGCCTAGACAAAGTCTCCCTCTAGAGTCAGCTCCCTGGAGTTGGACTAGCCTCCTGAACTGTAAGAGAATTGTTTGTTAGAGCCATCCGCTTGCGGTATCTCTGTTACTGCATCACTATATAACTAGGGTGTCAGCTGACACATGCAGAATTTTACATGTATCTCTATTAAATTCTTTTTAATATTTTTTTTTCTTTAGCAAGCAAAATTTATTTTCTAATTATTTAAGAGGTTGGAAGTCTGAATTCAGGTTGCCACTCTGGGGGCGGGCTTTCTCTGTCATCTCCTTTCAGCTTCTTTGGGCCTGCCTTGAAGATCTTCATGAATCTAGGTATCACTCAGTCCTTGTTCTAAGAGGCTCACTGCATAGACACACTGGATCCAAAGGATGCACTCCACACCTGGATCATTGTTCTTGGTGGAACTGGAGTTCCTCTAAATTCTTCCTTGCTTTTGACCCAGCTTTTCAGTCATTTGAATCTTGATTTTGCTATTTTAGCTGTTTTCTCTGGCCTTATATCATCTATGGATGATACATTGGTCTTCCTTTTTTTTGTGCTAATTTATGGCTCATGGCTACGAGAGACCTCTACCCAGTTTTTCATAGGGTCCAGCTTTGAAGTTTTGTACCACGTTGGGACCACAAGCCCAAAAAGATCGTTTTTGTTCACGGGATATCATCATAGGAGACTGATGGGTTAATGTAGCCAAATGGATGACAAAGTATTTCGCGAGACTTAGAAATTCTTTTTTTTTTTGAGACTTAGAAATTCTTGAAGGCTTCTAGGGAAGAAGTGGGAAATTGATGAAGAGAGGGCTTAGGAAAATCAAAGGAAGGCATGGCCTCTCTTACCGTCTGGGTTTTCCATTCTCCCAAGCTGAAGTCCACTGGAGGCAGAAGGACAGGTGTGGACAAAGGGTCAAAGTCTGGGCACTGGCTCTGTTGGACAAAGATGAGAAGAGGAGAAAGGAGCTGAAGTAGAGGGATGTATGGTGGCCCCATGACCGGGACAACCTTCTGTGAGGAAATGTTCAAACTGGATCTTTTATAAGAGAGCTCTTTTGCAAATCATAACTTTGAGAGTAGAAATCAGTGGTGATGGTCTTACGAAAGAGTCGGGACTGACTTCTAGCTTACCCTCCAGTGGGTTTTCAGAGGGTATATTGCATGGGAGGCGATTGCCACCCGCAGAACTGCTGGGGGATTCACACCGCCAGAGAGTGTCTACTTTGAGTTAGCAGCACCTCTCCCTGCCCACCAGGCCCCCACTACGGGAGTGAAGTGGATAGACGGAACAGTGCTTGGGGATTCTCACCAGTCTGCTGTGAAGGGCGTGGGAGTCTCGGAGCAGTTTATTCAGGAGTCGGGGGTCACAGGCGGCAGGAGCCGGGCTGGACAGAGTTATTCTTGCAGTTAGAAGCATGACCACAAGGAGCAAATCTTGGATGAGGAGAGATGAGATTAGAAGGGGTGGATAAGGAAGAAATCACTGTGGGTAGTGGGCCGAGAACTCTCATTTAGGGCCCAGTCCTTCATACTAAGGAATCTGCCTCTCAGATTCATGATTTCTGGGAGATTGAGTTTCCCTGCTTCCATCCCTCCACCATGTCCCATTTTGCTTTCCTCCCCTCTCATGTTCTGATCTGGCACCAGGTCCCTCAAATGTATTCTTACCAGTCAGCTCCATTCTGGCCATGGTGTCTGTCTGGAGTGGCTCCCTGTATGGGGCCCCTCCCCTGAATCCTTCCTGGGGCCATGGAGGCGGCTTGGGCTCTTGCGCTTCGGGGTAGAGTGGGGCGGGGCACAGGTGCACCAAGGAAGCGGGTCTGGAGTCTATCCTGAAAGTGACGGGAATTCACTCATTGCTGTCCAGTCGGAACCTCTCCTAGCGGGTCTTCTCAGGCTGTAGCTTGCCGCTTTGGAGGCGACTGCACAGCTTTCTGTCTTTTCTGGGGGATTTGAACCAGCCGAGAGGAGCAGCCCTTTGGTTAGAAGAGCAACTTCCTACAGACTATAACACGAGGATTCTGGTGTGATGGGAATAGTGGACATTTATTCAAGTTTCAAGGAAAGGATTCCTCCGTAGGAGGAACAGATCCTAGGAGGGGCTTGAGATGCTGACCAGTCCAAACTGTGAAAACCTGTAGCATTTGGTATTTCCTCTTTGCCAGGGGTTCTCAGTGAATGAATCAGAAGTAGATTTGGAAGGAAAACCAATCTCTTCGTAAACTTTCACTAAAATCACAATAAAAGTTAAAAGGAATAAAACAGTGGTTTTTGGCACCCCCAGTGCATGTCCTAATTTCCTCAACTTGTGAACAACTCTGGTTGTTGGCTCAGAAAAGGGATGAAAATATTATGGCATAACCTTGGAGAAGTGGAAAATGGTATGCAGGGCTAGGATGAGGACCCTGTGAACATGTACATTGTGTTGAGAGACAGCTTCAGTTGCAGGGTGGAGGCTGAGGAATCAAGTAAAAAGATGACTAGGATTATTAGGGAGCAGTTCAAGGACAGGAGGGACCAGTCCTTGGAGAAGGACATCATGCGCACAGAAGAGGAAGACCTTGGATGAGATAGATTGACGTAGTGACTGTGACAATACGGTCAAGTGTGTCAGAGATGGTGAGTTAGGCTCAAAGGCATATAACATCATAGTGGACTTGAAGGCACATAACAACAGGATTATTAGCCATTGGTGGCTAGAAAGAGAATGTGATGTGGGAGAAGCTAACCTTTTATTCTTTCCTTTTAACCTCCTCACATAAAGTCTCTTGGAGTTTTTCTTTGCACTCCAAAGTGTGAAGAGATGGACTAACAGTCCTGGGACTTCCTTCCTGAGGCATCTCGCCCAGGAATGGGCACCTGCTGGGTGAGGTGATGGCTGGGTTGGTGAGCCAGTGCATTATGCCTTACCTCCCCCAGATTCCCACCGACATATCTATCCCCTTGCCCCACCTTCCTCCCTGCCCCCTCTGCAGACCTCTACGGGTTCCTTCACAGGACCCCCCACATGGCTTCCTCCTTTTTTCACAAGTTGTGCAAAGAGGGCTGCACCTGATTCAATATTGGGATTTCCTGTAGGTCTGTCAACATGCAGGAGCCCTCCTCCCCTATCCTCTCTTGTGCCTTGGCTTCCCTGCTCCAACTTCCCCATCCTCAGGGTTCAGACCTGATATAAAACGACTGAGACTGGGTCCATGTTGGTGTGTGTACCTAAGCCCCAAAATGGAGCCTCCTGTCATATTTTCTCCCTATACTCATGTCCCCTTTCCTGAGGGCCACCAAGTCTATGACCAGTTTCTCTGAACCCAATACCCCACCCCCTACCCCTGCACTGTCCTGCTCCTCCCATTCTGGGAAGGCTACACTCTTCTCGACAAAGGTCAGTCAGTGCCTGTAGGTTCCAGTTTGCCTGCCCCTCCCCCAGTTGAGAGCCAATTTTTCTTTCCTGTCCTTTCCTCCTCTCACGGAACTCCAAATCTAGATTGCCACTCACCAGCTGGAGAAGGACTCAGGCAACCCAGGTGCAGAGCAGACAGGACTTTGGGGAGCAGATAGGTAGGAAGGCCTGTGGCGTTGGGGCACAGCCCTTCCACAGCAATGGGGTCACACGCTTGCCCTGGCCACTTCCACCCAATCAGAGAGCTGGGAGCCACCAGACAGTGGTGAGGGCCCCCGGAAGTGACGCCTTCTCCTCCCACCCTCGTTGGACCTGGAGCCCCTGCCTGAACCATGGTCCATTGACACAGCCCAGCTCTCTTCCACCCACGTACTCCACAGAGAGGATCAGAATCACGGGAACCCATCTCTTCCTAGGAGTTGGGACCCAGCTGGGGAAAGAGATGGGTGGAGAGCAAAGATTTTTTTTTTTTTCCCCAGGAGGAAACTGACGGGACATTTTCGTCCCTGGAGAAGAGGTCTAGTTTTAGATTAGTGGGTTTTAAAGTTTCTAGCTATCCAAATATCTTTTCTCTGGACACCGCACCTGCTGCTGAAAATCAGTAAGGCAACAGCCTTCCTGCTTTTTCTCTGCTTGAGCCCCTAGGGGGCCTAGCTTTGTCACTAGACTTTTCTGAGTGGGAATCTGGATATATTGCCTATATTTGTGTGTCATCCTTGTGTAGGGGCCATTCTAATCTTCTCTGTATCGTTCCAATTTTAGTACATGTGCTGCCAAAGCGAGCGCGTCTATTGTACACATATTTAGCAGAGTCTTGTTAGGGGTCATTATTAATGGAGAAAGGGCTTGGATGGCTTAACAGTACTGGAAGAGGAGTGTGTGTGTTCTAGTTAAGCCTGAGCCTTAGGCCAAATGATCTGACCCGCTTATCTCTATGCCCATGCCCTCATCCCTGTGCCCGCCTTTCTCTCCCTTCCATCTCCTACTACTCCACATGTGACAGGAGGACTAACCAGGCCCATGTGTCCCTGTCTTAGGAAAGACAGCTGCTGAACCTCCCCCACAAATACCTCCCTCCTGGCCCCGCTTTTTCTTTGGCCTTGGTGTTAGTTCCTTTGCTTTCCCCTCGATTCCAGTCTCCCCACAGTCTCTGTCCTTAGGGGCCTCCTGGCCTGACCTTGTTCCCAGCAACCCCCCAGCCCCCCACTTCTTCCTCAGGCCCTCTCTTGCTCCTCCTCGTAAGGATGGGCTGTCTGCTAAGGAGTATGGCCTAGATCCCAGAATTCTCCAGTTCAGCCAGACGAGATGCCTCCTAAGATTAGGAAGGAGGGTGCTGGGATGGCTGGGAGGCTGGTGGGTCAGTGGGGGTGGGAGAGGAGAGGGAGGCATCCGTGACCAGGAAACCAAGACAAAGGGAGTGAGTGGAGAGGCAGAGGGTCCCCTTGGTGGAAGCAGGTCAGACTGGATACACTGATGGCAGCAGGATGGACGGAGGTCAGGTTCCAGCAAAAGGGAAACACCATCAGCAGATTGAAAGGGGGTTCACTGCTGTTTCTGGCTCAGCTCTGCCCTTGGGAACAGTAGAATGAGGGACAAGACTAATGTAAAACATTCTTCATAGTACCTCAGAGAAGAGACAGGACACAGGCCAGTGTAGGGACATAGGCAGATATACGCAGTGGGATGGGGTTTGGGGGTGCTGTGGGCTGAGTCTAGGGGAGATCAGTTGAAGGGTCTCTATCGTACTTCGTCACCAGTAAAGGCAAATCTTTCTGGGGCAGTACCCGGGGCCCTTGCCCAGTGGCAGCCACAGGCTTCAGGCCCATCCTCTGCCCCTCCTTAGCCTGGGGCTCCAGTCCTGGTCCAGCTTCCCGGTGGCCGCAGGCGGCAGGGTGGGGTGGGGGTTCCGGGCCGACTTTCCTCCCCCTCTGCGCCCCTTCGTTCCTCCCCTCCCCCTGCCCCTTCTACTCCCCCTTCCCCTCCAGCCCCTCCCTCCTCCCCTGCCC